CCTTTCCCTTTCCCTTTCCCTTTCCCTTTCCCTTTCCCTTTCCCTTTTTCTTTTCCCTTTTCCCTTATTCTTCTCTCTTTCTCTTTCCCTTTTTCCTTTTCTGTCTTTCTTTTCCACATGAAGAACTTCAAGCAGATGGCGCCCAAGAGTTCCCAGTGGAGTCTGCATTTTTTGGGGACTTGCAGAACTCACTGTGGATGGCAGAGCGCTTCCTCCCTCGTGCCTCAGTGCCACAGCTCCATCATCACAACCTGCGCATGGAAATTACTCCTTCATTTCTGGACGTTAAACCTGCATCTCCAGAGCTCTCCAACATGGTGCTGGGAAACCATCCATCCAGCCCATGCCCAAAGCAGTATTGGTGCAGGAAAGGAGAGGAATTGGGGCAGTGATGCCACATACAGTCCTTAGGAAGAAATGAGCCATGAGAGCACGTGCTGGAAGCACAACCTGGACACGCAATAAATCCTCACCCAGTGTGGCTGCTCCTCTTGCTCCTTCTTGAGAAGGAGCCTTGCTCCAGCCTGAGGTGTCAAAGGACAAAACCAAGCAAACAAAAAACAAAACAAAACAAAACAAAAAAGCCACTTATTTTTTTCTCCTTCTTTCTAGTTATTTTTGACAAGCTGGAAGAGAACAGGGGGAGAGGGAAAGGCTGACGCATGTTTGATATACACTTTTGACAGAGATTTTGCTTTATTATGTTTAATTGAAAAGTGTTAACGCCGGCCGACATGAATATTCAGCTGATGCCTTTTGGTGCCATTCCAGGAGTTATGATCGCCTGTGATTCCACCACGGCTTCTCAGCACGGAGCCCTGTCAAAGCCGGAGTGACAGTGGGGAAGCTATTAATTGAAATAGCTTCATTAATTAGTAATTAACAGCAGGGTAATGACTATGTCACACATCGTATTTCAATGAATGCCCTTCATGTGTTATGGGGCCGTTAATTAAAGAATATGCATTTTAATTAAAGGCAAGTTTGGCCCTTTGGCCTCCGGAATACAAAAGATGTTTTAAACTTTCAGGACTTGGAGGAGGAAAGGTTGGATTGGGGAAAAAAGCAGAGTGTGAGCTCCCAAGTTCAGTCCCTGCAGTTGCCGTGTCTGGAGGGGCCCTGGGGACATGGGGCTGAGGGCCGTGCCTTGCACCAATGTCTTCCATCAAGGTCTTGTACCCAGCACTTTGTTCACATTGCCTTGCGCCAGTGCCTTGAGTCCAGCAGGTTGTAATGGTGCCTTGCTTGGGAATTAAGGCTTGGGGAAATAATTGCTGTGCTGTTGCTGGGTTTTGAAACAGCTCAGGCATGGCTCCAATCCCTCACAGCAGTGCTGCAGAATCATAGAAACATTACGGTTGGAAAAGACCACTAAGCTCAAGTCCAACCCCAACCCATCACCACCCATCGCCACCATGCCCACTAAACCATATCCCTCAGTGCCAC